TATCACTTCTTCAAGATAGATTTTAGAATTAAGAGATTTGTTTCCATGATTATTACACTCTCCGTCCTAATTTATAATATGAGTTAGTTTGACTTGACACGAAATTTAGAACAAGCAAACTATTTTCAACCAATATCAAATTTCGGTTACAACAATCAGCAGCAGCAAACTTTAGCAAAATATGTTGTTTAAATTTAAGATGAATTTAAATTTAAATTTCTATTAGATTGTTCTAGCACGGGGCCCAATATATATTATTTTTTTATTTTAATTTATGTCATATTATGGAATTTGAGAAGTTATTGAAATTTTTATATGATTTTAAAAATATTTTAAATTTTTAGCTATTTGTGATTTGTAGTACTTTTTTTTAACATAATTTTGAAAATAATATTTATTACTCTGTTTGTTCTAATTTATGTGGCACACGCAGAATTTCAAATATTAACCCTTTTTTATATGTCTCTTTAATATATTAAGTTGTTAATTATTGTATTTTATAGTACATTTTGAACCTAATTTTTTAATAATATATGTTATTTGCCATGTCCCAATTTATGTGGCATTAATTGATAGATTTGTTGGAGTCGAGAGATTTATTTTGTTAATTATTGTAATTTATAGTTTTTTTTTCCGTCAATTTCAAACAATATATGTTGTTAATTGATAGAATACTTTTAATGTAATTTTTTTAAAAAAATATGTGTGACTGTCCATGTCCCAATTTATGTGGCACATGTAAAGTTTTGACAATTAACCAAATTTTAATACATTTTAAAAAATATTTTTAAGTCGTTAAATTTTAAGTAATTTAAATTGTTGTATTATTTATTACAATTTATAATACTTTTAAAGTAGTTGAAATATTGTACTATTTATTATGATTTATAACACTTTTTTTTAATTTATGTCATATTATGGAATTTGAGAAGTTATTGAAATTTTTATATGATTTTAAAAATATTTTAAATTGTTAGCTATTGTGATTTGTAGTACTTTTTTTTAACATAATTTTGAAAATAATATTTATTACTCTATTTGTTCTAATTTATGTGGCAGATACAGAATTTCAAATATTAACCCTTTTTTATATGTCTCTTTAATATATTAAGTTGTTAATTATTGTATTTTATAGTACATTTTGAACCTAATTTTTTAATAATATATGTTATTTGCCATGTCCCAATTTATGTGGCATTAATTGATAGATTTGTTGGAGTTGAGAGATTTATTTTGTTAATTATTGTAATTTATAATTTGTTTTTCGTCAATTTCGTTGACTATTTTTTTTATTAATTATTGTAATTTATTGTTTCTTTTTCGTCAATTTCAAACAATATATGTTTATCATATAATCCATTTTATGTGGTATCAATAGAATTTAGAGAGTCAATTAAATTTTTTATATAAGTTTTAAATAATTAAGCTGTTAATTATTGTAATGTATAGTATTACTTATATTATTTTTAAATATATTTAAATATTATATGTTAGGTTTTTTATCCTAATTTATATGGCATTGATAGAATTTAAAGTGTCAAATAATTGTTAATTATTCTAATAGATAATATGGAGTATTTAAGTCATTTATAGTATAGTAATTAATATATAATATGTAGTATTTAAGTGGAAGGTGGTGGGGTCCACTTATATAGTTTGATAAATATATTGAATATTAATTGTGATTTAGAGTATAGGAATTAATAATATATAATATGCAGTATTTAAGTGGAAGGTGATGAGGCTCACTTATATATTTTATAAATATATTGGACATTAGTAGTGATCTTTTTGGACCATTGATAGTCATTCCTAGACTCTTCTATAATATAGTAATTACAAAATTCTAGTTATCACTTGACAAATCTTAATACAAATCATTCCCCTTCTCCACTCACCCCTTTTCTCTCTCTCTATTTACTCTTCTTTTCTTCTTCCTATTTTTAGTGCACAAATCTTAAATCTACAAGCAATCACAAGGACAACTGAGCTATTTAAGTCTTCCCTATGCTTGATAACAATTATCACAAGCACAAATGAGCTATTTAAATATTTCCTATGCTTGATAAAAAATATTGAGAGACATGTTCAACTTTTTTTTGTTAATCCATCTTTAAAAACAACTTGTATTTTGAAAGTTGGCCTCCCAACTAAATATGCCAAACTTTCAACAAATTTTATATCTTCAAACACGAATTTTGCACGTCAATTTATAGTATCTATACTTATCAAAATTTCTAAACTTAAGTCGTAACTTGAATGAAAATTTCAAAGAAAATTCCAAAATAGACTATTGTGCACTTTTACCCAAGCCAAACTTTCGATAAATTTTGTATCTTCAAACACGAATTTCGCACGTCAATTTATAGTATCTACACTTACAAAAATTTCTAAACTTAAGTCGTAACTTTAATGGAAAATTCAAAATCGACTATATGTGCACTTTTACCCTATTTGAAGGCATTTTAAAGAAAACGTCAAGTCTGTTAAAGCCCATGAAAGTATCATATCGAATATGTCCAACCCATTTGATAACTCTATATAATACAAAATCCTACTTAATTCTAGTATCTCTAGAAAAATCTTAATATACAAATCATTCTTCTACTCAATCTAAGGCCTTTTAAAGAAAGCGGTAAGCCTGTTAAAGCCCATAAAAATATCATATTGACTCGGTAGTATAAAACCCATAAAAGTATCATATCGAATCGATAGTATTGTATTGACTCGGTCCAATCCAGTTAGCTTTATTATCAATTGAAAACCCTAATATACAAATCATTCGCCTACCCTACTCCGCCCCCTTAATATACAAATTATTCCCCTACCCAATCGGAAGGTCTTTCAAAGAAAGCGATAAGGCTGTTGAAGTCCATAAAAGTATCTTATCAAATCGATCCAACCCATTTCGACAATTCTATATATTACAATATCCTAATTACCTCTCTATTATCACTTGAATAACCTTAATATACAAATCATTCCTTTATCCTACTCTACCCTACCCCTTTTTTTTTTTCTTTGTTTACTTCTTTTTTTCTTCTTATTTTTAGTTCACAAATCTCGATCCTATGGTTCATAAAATTATTAAAAGACATGTTCAACCTTTTTTTTTGTTAATCCATATTAAAAAACAACACATATTTTGAAAGTTTGCCTCCCCATTAAATATGTCAAACTTTCGATAAATCTTGTATCTTCAAAAACAGATTTTACACGTCAATTTCTAGTGTCTACACTTACAAAGTTCCTAAACTTAAGTCGTAACTTAAATGGAAATCTCAAAATCGACTATATGTGCACATTTATCCAATTTCAAGGCATTTCAAAGAAAATGTCAAGTCTATTAAAGCCCATGAAAGTATCGCATCGAATCGGTCCAACCCATTTTGACAACTCTAAATAATACAAAATCTTGGTTTAACTTTAGTATTCCTAAAAAAAATCATAATATACAAATTATTTCTCTACCCAATTTGAAGGTCTTTCAAAGAAAATGATAAGAATGTTAAAGCCCATAAATGTATTGTATCAAATCGGTCCAACTCATTTTGACGATTCTATATACTACAAAATCCTAGTTACCGCTATTATCACTTGACAAACCGTAATATAAAATCATTCCCCTTTTCCACCCACCCATTTCTCTCTCTTTTCTCTCTTTGTTTACTCCTTTTTTTTATTCCTATTTTTAGTGCACAAATCTTAGATCTACAAGCAATCACAAGCACTAATGAGGTATTTAAATCTTTCCTATGCTTGATAAAAATTACTGAGAGACAAGTTCAACCCTTTTTTGCTAATCCATCTTTAAAAACAACATGTTTTTTGAAAGTTTGTCTCCCCACTAAATATGCCAAACTTTCGATAAATTTTGTATCTTCAAACACGAATTTTGCACGTCAATTTATAATATCTACACTTACAAAAGTTTCAAAACTTAAGTCGTAACTTAGATGGAAATTCCAAAATCGACTATATGTGCACTTTTACCCAAGCCAAACTTTCGACAAATTTTATATCTTCAAACCCAAATTTTGCACACAATTTATGGTATCTACACTTCAAAAATTTCTAAACTTAAGTTGTAACTTAAATGGCAAATTCAAAAGGAAATTCCAAAATCGACTATAAGTACACTTTTTACCCAATTTGAAGGTCTTTCAAGAAAATGTTAAGTTTGTTAAATCCCATGAAAGTGTCTTTATCGAATCGGTCAAACCCATTTGACAACTCTATATAATACAAAATTCAAGTTAATTCTAGCATCTCTAGAGAAATCTTAATATATAAATCATTCTCTTACCCAATCTGAAGGCCTTTTAAAGAAAACGGTAAGTCTGTTAAAACCCATAAAAGTATCATATCGACTCGATAGTATAAGCCCATAAAAGTATCATATCGACTCGGTTCAATCCAGTAGCTCCATTATTAGTTGAAAAACCCTAATATATAAATCATTCGCCTACCCTACTCCGCCCCGCCCCCTTCTCTCTCTGTTTACTCTTTTCTTTTTTCTTCCTTTTTAGTGCATAAATTTTAGATCTACAAGCAAACCCCAATTCTTTTATCTTAAGGGTTACAACAAAACTTTGTGATAGAAAAAAAAAATAGCTTAGAGAAACCAAAGGACCAAGAAAAAAGAAACAAAAGGTCATCCTCAGCCCCTCAACTTCTCCCAATTACTGGTATTTCTCTCTGTATTTTAAAGATTTTTGTACAGAATATTTTTCCTATTCAAGAATTCGAAAATCAACCCACCCCCGCTTCACCCTACCCCTACCCCACCCCCAACTCCGTTTTCCCTCTTGAAGTAGCAAAATTTGGATACCTTTTAGGGTCAAAAACTTTTCGCGCCTAAAAATGGCGAAAATTAATTGATGCTCATGAACAATTACTTGCTTTCATTTTGTTCAAAAATGGTAACACTTGTTTACTTGTATGGGTTTTCGTTTTCTTGTTCTTTTTTCATGTTGGTGTGAAAAAGAAGACATTTTTTATAGGTTTTGGATTTGCAAAATGGCAGGTTGGTCGAAGAGAGTTGATGGGTTGGGTTTAGAAGGTTTCAGGTCAGTGGACAATGTTTCGAAGCTTGATAGTGTTCTTGTTAATCGTTTATTAAAAGAGGTTAATGGGTGTTTATGTTTTAGGCCATTTCCTCCAATGCTCGGTGATGGGAAGGCGGTGGATTTGTGCAAGCTGTCCTTGGTTGTGAGGGAGAAAGGTGGGTACGAAAGGGTTTGTGCAAGTCGGTCTTGGGGTGTTGTTGCTGTTGAGTGTGGGTTTGATTTAACATCTGGTTTGGCTTTGAAGTTGGTGTATGTTAAGTACTTGGATGCTTTGAACAGAGCAATGGTGAAACTTGAGCAACCTAATAATGAAAAGAGTGAGGTTAAGAAGAGTGCTTTGGGTTTTAGTGCTGTTAGGATGGACCTTGAACTGGATTTGAAGGGGGTTTTGATGAATGAAGAGAAGAAAGACGAGGAACATGGGAAAATGGAGTTTGATCCTGCAGCTAATGGAAAGTTGAGCGATGGTATTGAGGTTCAGGATTTTGTTGAAAAGCGAAGTTTGGACGGTAGTGTGTGTGATGTAAAGGGGATTGATGAAAAATTTAGTGTTGTTAATGCTGAAGAAGATTCAAAGTTTGTGAATCAAAACGAAGATGATCAGCTTGATACAAATGACAATAGGCTAATGAAGTTAAGTGGGGATGAGGACGACTGCGATAATAGGAAGAGGAAGTATAGTGATGGAAAGATGATCGTCGGTTATGGTGAAGAACATCTGAAGATTGACGATGGAAATGGAGACGTTCAGGGTGGCAAAGATGGCATTGGCCTAACAAAGTTTAGCGGGGATAAGGAAGATAGCATTACTAGGAAGGGGAAGCGAGAGTCTAACTTGGACATGCTTAAGTGGGTTACTGAACTTGCAAAGGATCCATGTGATCCTGCCATTGGGCATCTGCCTGAAAAATCTAAGTGGAAGTCTTATGGGAATGAGGTTGTTTGGAAGAAGGTTCTTTTGTTACGAGATGAAATGCTTTTGGAAGGGAATGTGGATACAAGTACTCAAAACTCCATATGGCAGGTACTTCATTCTCCTATATATTGAAACTCCAAAGTGTTTATTAAGTAATTTTTTTTCTCAACATCTCTTATTGTGATTTACCAGATAAAGTATTTCATGTATGTAGCTCCTGTGGAATGTCAACTGTATTTTAATAAGTTGATGACATAACGTTGTAGTTGAGAGGGGGCATGTCCGGTTGACCTTCATGCATCATATAACTTATCTTTATCCGTATCTGTCGCATTTTGCTCAATATTTCTTCTTGATTATTAGAAAATGCTTTCAAATGATTACATTAGGGGGTATGCAGCAGTTCAAGAGCAAAGTTGGGTCTGACTAAGGATTTCTAGATTTTTGGGGAAGTTGAAATATAAAAGGGGTGAGGGCAGTGAAAAATCCATGAGTTTTAGAATCATCTTTAACTGGTGGTGCAAGGACTACTTTTGCTTGTTCAAAACAAATCTAAGTTTACATGTGTCATGCATGATTTTTGTCAGTTATAATTTTAGAAGTTCCATAATGCCTTGGAGACAGAAGGTTCTATTACACAAAGTAAGGTTCATATGAATTCCTTTTCCTCCACTTTCAGGTCAAATTGGCCTTTCAACAATGCATGTTTAATTTTCTATTTACATGACTAAGTGACAAAAATAGCTATTATTCAGTCTGTTCCAATTCATTATATGTTCGATAAGAGAGTTGAAAATGTGAACTGTTTAATATTTTTCGAGAAACATGTGTAATATTTTCAATTTTGTGTCTTACAATAGAAGAATAGATGATAAATTGTTATTAAGAAGAGAATATTAGGCTTGTAAATTTTGTGTTTTTAAAATTGTACCAATACTTCTCATTCAAAATGGACAACATTCTGGTACAACTCAAAAAGGAAAGTATGACAAATATTTTAGTACAGAACTGCAATATTGAAGTAAAGATGAGTTTTAATTTCCAAATGACATGTATTTTTCAAAGTTTGTTCAACTATTAAAAGGGCATTAGTATAGCTTTTAGGAGTAGGAAGTATATATTTTCAAACTCAAATTTGAAAAGCTTAGGTTAGTATGTATTCAATTTGTCATGTTTAGATTGTGAGGAATTTAGAAAATTTCGGAAATTGCTTGTATGTGATTATATCAGAGTTTTTTTGCTCAACAGCTCCATTCAGCTTTCCTTTTTCCAGGGGGGTATTGGGAAGAGGGAGAGAGGAACTTTTGATGAGAATGCTCAAGAAAGTGGATGTATGGTGTGAAACATGATAATTCATTTTCTTTTGTTTTCTTCTCTACTGACATTGACTCAGTTAGAATGATAAATGCTAGAACAGTATCCATTTTCAATAGGAGTTAACATGTCATTACTCATTAGTCATTAGTGTGTTTAGGAATTTGTCAATATGCTCAATATTCTAATATGAGCCCTTGCTATTAAATATATGGATGGTAGATCATTTTTCTTCTAAAATGAGAACCAATGAAATGCCTAGTCTAAAATCTTACACTTTTTCCCCATTAATATGGTTTCGCTACTGTTGGTTTCTTCAAGTGTAAGATGGGCAGACATTTCTTGGAAGATTCTACAACTTGAACAGATTTGAGAGGTTCTAATAGGATGCTGAGTTGAAAAGTTTTCGTAATTGTGATGCTGCAAAGCAGCACTTACTAGTGAGGGAGTCGTTGTTACATAAGTTTTCGTAATTGTGATGCTGCAAAGTGGCTTCTTTAAGTGTATGATTTGTCATATTTTAGCGTATTCTTAAAAATGTCAGCAAATTTGGATGGCTGAAGTTTGCTTTCCAGATTGTTTAGTATCATATTCCGGAATGACCATGCCATATTTGATGTTTTGAAGATCGTGTTCTTAGTAAAAGTAAGGCATGTTGGATCCTTGTAGGCCTTCTGTCTACCAATTCAATTATCTGTCTTGAGGAGATGGTATCATGATTATTCTCCTTAAATGGCTGAGCCTTTTTTTTTTCCCTGGTCTAAAATACTTCATTCAAATTTCTGTCCGGAAATGCTAATTATCTGTTTCCATTTTCCATTTTTGTGTAGCCTGTTTTATATTCATGATTATTGGACTTCCACAGTATCCAATGTGTTACAGCATATACATCTGGAGAGAGTTCTGTGCTTCCAATTGTGAACCCTTTTTATGCACTGTGCCTCTTATGCTAGATAAGCTGCTAATTCAGTAACCTAGTAGCATTCCTCGGTGTATTCAGCATTTTTATCAATCTTAAAATGTGATAGTTCACGGTATGAAGAACTCAAAGCTCTAGTGTGATCTCTTTTGAACCTTTTGACCATTTCTATCTTACTCCAGCTTTCAAACTCATCTAGCCAATCATGATGATACAAACATTTAGGCTCTGTTGAAGATTGTGAATTTACTCATGTTCTGGCTTGGTTTAATTCAAGTTTTCTTTTGCATTGTAGCAAAAACAGAAAATGCATCCATCTATGTATGATGATAATAGTGGGTCTGAGCAGCTAAGGTGCAGCCAAAGGGTCCAATCTGCAAAAGATTCTTCGAAAAAATCAGGTTCTCATAGTGATGCAACTCTGATAGACAGACCTACTGACTCTTCTGCAGAGTCGGGAGTTTGGTGGAACCGTCGGCGTAAGAAAATAGCATCAATTGGGTCAGAGTTCCAAGCAGATATTCCAGAGTGGAATAAGGACATCTATGAATCTGACTCTAAATGGTTGGGCAACCGAATCTGGCCACTGGATAAAAATGAACAGAGCAGAATATTAATTGAAAGAGATCCTGCTGGGAAAGGAAGGGTTGATACATGTGGTTGTGAATATGCAGGTTCTTATGACTGCATTAGGTTTCACCTTTCTGAGAAGAGAAAGAAGCTTAAAGTTGAGCTAGGATCCGCCTTTTATCACTGGAAATTTGACTGTATGGGTGAAAAGGTTGCACTCTCTTGGACATCAAAAGACAAACAGAAATTCCATGATATAGCAAAGTCGATCCCTTTGTCTGAGGATGAGAGTTTCAGTTACTGGCCTGACCTTTTTAAGTTCTTCCCTCACAAAAGCAGAGAATCTTTGGTAAGCTACTATTTCAATGTCTTCAATCTACGCCGCATAGGTCAGCAGAATAGGATGAATACATGTTATGTTGACAGTGATGATGATGAATCAGGGTGTGGACCTAGATCTATTTCTTTTGGGCGGGATCCTAAGTCCTCCATCTCTTGTTCCCCGAAGAAAGCACGTCTAGATCTCATATAGTAACAACAGGTGGATGGATGGATTAACATCAATGGCTTTTGTTCAGAAATGTAAATTCGCGGAGTCTCTTGTTCTCTTTTACATCAGCAATATTTTTGGGTCGGTGGATATGGGGGTTTAAGGGGGGGTTTACCGATATCAATTTTTGTTCTGCATTTCTCAATGTATACAGTTTATACTCCCTTTAGAATTAGCAGTGCTTGAATCAAAGAAACAAGATTTCTAAGAACACAAATTGTCATCTAGCAGCAAAGTCTCTGAGATTTTATATATATAATATACATGCTGCTCTTTACTGAAGTTACCATTGTTCTTTGTTTGATGAGTTTCTTTTCTACTACTTTATCTTGTGTTTGCTTCTTTATGAACCTCTGAAATTGCTGAGCTTTTGAATGGTCCTTATTGTGTATTTCAGACCAATTGATGTATACTCTTCAGGTTCATTTGGTACGTGAGTGAGATGTGATAGACAAAGATATCCAATGAGATTAACATATCTAATCGGATCATTTTAGTGCGTTCCATGGGATCATTATCTCTTATCCTACCAACCAAACGTAGGATAAAATAATCTCATGTTTTATACCATGGGATTGCTATCTCATCCTGCACGCCAAATGAGCCTTCCTATTTCAAAGTTGTCCTGGGAGAATAATTCACTTTTGAAAAATAAATATAGGTCCACACCAAATAATTCACTTTTGAAAAAAAAAAAAGAGGTTAATAATGCAGTATACAAAGAATCTAGAGGACGGTGTTGTTTTATTCTTCTGTTAGCTAATTTGACAGTTTATGGTAGTAGTTGGAATCCTCCTCTTTGGATTTGACACTTGGAGCTAGAGTTTTCGTTACGAATTCAATAGGTCCGAGCAAAATTTTATATTTTTTGTTCAAATGTGATATTATAAAGTCATCCCCAAATTTTATTTTCCTTTTGGTCTCAATCAGTTGAACTGACCTTTGTATTGATAGGAACTGAGAAAAGGAAACTTTGGTTCAATTTAAATAGGTGACAAATGAAAGTTCTCCTACTCAATTAAACAAAATAGAAACTATAGGTTATATAATAATGCTTAAAAATTGTCCACTCAACGTAATGGCTGCCATATACATTTTCCTAATTTAATTAAAGGAATTCCTACGTGTCGACATTCCACAAAATAAAAATAATAAAAGTGTGAGGCTTTACACACTTCCATAATGTGATTCATTGAACAAAAACATATTTATTTGATTAAATATCATGGATTCTTTCTAAATGTTACTCTTATGATATATTTAAACTCACAAATTTTAAAAGTTTTATAATTATTTAAATATTATAATATATTTAAGATCGTAATTTTACATTTTCTAAAAAACTCTATCAAATTACGTTATATAAATTGAAATGAGCGGAGTAGTACATTTATTTTTTTTGCTAGGCCATTTTCAATTATTTTTCTTACCTCTCAATCATGAGAAGAGTTAGCATTTGAAGCACTTATTTGTGATAAGTTCCTTTCATTTCAAAGATATCAATTATGTATTTATTGACTTATTCCATAAAACTATTAACCTTGTTTACTCAACTTTTTATTTAATAGTGTTTATAATAATTTGGTTGTGAATGTTTTCAATCTAAATATTATGACTTAAGATTTTAAAAAAAACTATTATACTTGTCTAAATAAAAAAACTAAATTTATTTACTTTCAAATCATTATTATTATTATTTTTATCTCTTGTAAATTGTAACGGCTTAAAAGGAAATTATTATAAATAAAATCAAGTCTTTTTTTTAAACTCTCATATTTTAACGATGTCAACAATAAAAATATTATCACTCGCCACACTATTGCACCCATTTAGAACTTCTACTAAGAATAAAATTAATTTTTCCAAAAATAACCCAGTTCCACACACATCTCCTTAAATTTTCTAAATTACCTCAAAAATGGATTAAAGTTGACAAGAAAAAATTATTGGGGAAATCTAGTTATCAAATTTTGCAAGATAAAGATTATGAAAGTTGAATAATATGAGGGGTAATGTGGATAGGATTAGAGATGGTAGGTGACAAAAAGCAGATATATGAAGAATCTTGAAAGATGCAGAAATCTTAATTATGATAAATTATAAATATAGTACCTCCCCATCTTAAAATAAGTACTTATCATTTTAATAAAATAATATTTGACTAAATAAATATTATTTCAAAATTTTAAAATAAAAATTAATATGTTTTTTCAATTATGCTCTTATATTGAAGAATTATTTCTTTTTAACAATGCCCATTTTTTTAAGAAATATTTATTAATAAAGGCAACTTAATAATTTCATAACATGAATAAAACTACAATCAGTCATCAGAAGTCTTGAATTTAAGTCTAAATATAAAAAAAAAATTAGTAAAAAATATTTTTCTTTTAATGAAGTCTTATATAATATAAATTTAAATTAATTCAATTTTACACTTATTTTGAGACGGAGGAATAACAAATTAACTCTAATATTTTATGGGACAAAAGACTTTATCATTATTATCTCTACTTCCTTCTTCCCCTCTCTCACTTGTCTGAACCTTTTTAGTACTACAAAGAACTCTTTTTTTTCTTCCTCTCTCTCTAGAATCATCCAAAGAAGAAAGCAACCATGTCTTCTCCAAGCAAACGCCGTGAAATGGACCTCATGAAACTGTGAATCTTTAATCATTTTTTGTTAAAAATTTAATCTTTTTTTGTTCTTGTTAAGTTTGAGTTTCTATTTTGTTTGATTTTTTTTTTTCTGTCTTTTGATTCTATATTTATTTTGTTTGTTTGAATTAGAATGATGAGCGATTACAAGGTTGAGATGATAAATGATGGCATGCAAGAGTTTTATGTGCATTTCCATGGACCAACTGAAAGTAATCTTCTTTACCTTTTTTTCTCAATCTTGCTTTTTTGGCCTTTTTATTAAAGCTTTTAGCTTTTTGAGCTTTTTCTTTAAGAGGGTCTTTGTTATTTTTGATTATTGATTGAGTTTATTTGAGTTATCCTCTGATGGTGTTTTCTTTTGGTGGGGTTGTGGTTCTTGATCAAGATTCTTCAAGGGGTATGAGGAAAAGAGTGGATATTAACTTGGGTGGTTAATGTATACCCCAGAATCAAGATTTTTTTTAATCTTTTGCTTCTATTTGCCCTCTATTTGTGAAATTGAATTAGGAAATTGCCATTAAAATTCATTTAGGCTTCTTCTTGTATGTCTGGAATTCCTTTGGGCCTTAAAGTAGAATAGATACAGGAGTCATCTTTTGGTTCTCTAGTTATTGTTTTTGCTTATATCTGCTTATTGTCTCTTCACCAATGGATCTTCAAGTTACATCTTGCTTTAAGTGGAATTCAATTTGAAAGACTTTTTTGGGGGTGGGGGTGGGGGGTGTTTTGCTCAACTTGTTTGGGACTGAAGCGTAGTAGCAGTGGTTGTTGTTGAGGTGGGTTGTTTTCTTAGGCTTCTACTCATACTTATGGTGGTTTTCGTAGGTCCGTATCATGGCGGTGTGTGGAAAATAAGGGTGGAACTTCCTGATGCTTACCCATATAAATCTCCATCCATTGGTTTTATTAATAAAATCTACCACCCAAATGTTGATGAGATGTAAGTGCTGATACCGGTATAAGTATAGGAGCTTTCATCATTCTTGTTTTCTTTAACGAAGATCTAACATTTCACTAATAATCATTTTTCAGGTCTGGCTCCGTTTGTTTAGATGTTATCAATCAGACTTGGAGCCCCATGTTTGGTAATTAGAAATTACAGAACCTATAAATCATAATTCTGTACTTGAAAAGTTTTACTTACGTTTCTAGCAATATCATTATGAGTAAGTTATTCAAGTATTAAACAATCTTGCAGATTTGGTAAATGTGTTTGAAGTGTTTCTTCCACAACTTCTCTTGTATCCTAACCCATCAGACCCATTGAATGGAGAGGCTGCTGCCCTTATGATGCGAGACCGGGCTGCCTATGACCTAAGAGTTAAAGGTATTGACTCATTCTAATGCCTTAATATTATTCAGTTGAATCAATTGCAGGTTCAAGGTACTAACCATAAGCATTCTGTTATAGACAGTGTGTTCTATAATTAAACTGTGTTTACCTTTTCATGTTTAGAGTAAGTTCTAATGAGGTGTTCTCATTCGTTAGAAACATATATGTTTTAAGCTGTCAAATGCCATCTAGTAATGCACCAATTATCGGCTTAAGAACTCGCTTCACCTTCTTCCCAGACGAAAAGCAATCTTGGTGTGTAAAAGCAAAGTGTGGCTCTCTCTATGATGATCAGCATTCCCAATTCTAGTCCTGTTTTACAAACTACATTGTTCTCTAATCCTAATGCCCTTATTAGCACCACTTTTTAAATTGAAATACAAAATAATGTAGTTAGTGTCTTTACTGCATTTTGTGTGTACCTTCAAGTTAAAACTAACATCAATCAGCTGGGAACATTTATTGGTTCTGGGGAATTGTACTGGTAGGAAGTAGGGACAAACCAAAATGAATATTATTGCCGTGAAATTCAAGTTGAAATACTTAGAGAAGAACTGAAATTTGTTTGCTTAATGCTCTGGGAAATTGTACTGGTATCAAGATAGCTTGAACTGAGACCTGTGTTTTCAGGCGCGACCCATTTATGCTTCTCTGATTTTGGTGACACTGTCAACTTCAATTGTGACTATTTGCTATTCACAATTGATTGTTCCTATTTCCTTCATGTCTCTTTATGGTATCACACTGTCTAATTACTAAACAAGTCCTTGCAAATTTGGATAAATTTTGGAAAAACTTGATAAAATATTGGTTTGTATGCACAGCAAATGAACGGCCAGGTCAAGTATTGAGATGAAGCATTAAAGTTAAAGGTCATGTGATTAGTGTGCAGCATAATTGCTCTATTGCACAAGTGTTTAGATGCTCTTCTTTTATGTTCTGGGTTTTGAAAATGGAGAAGGCAGCGGATATGGTTGTGCAACTTCCTAAACTGAAGTGCTTGTCTTGTATTATTATTCGAAATGTTTATTTTCCACCCTTCTACTCATCTCTAACTGGTTTAAGAGTTTATGGGGTGATGGATGTGTCTTGGTTTATCTGCACATGTTGGCAAGGCAATAATGGAGTGTGAAGAGTTCTCAGAAGTTGCAGGGTTAACAAATTTGCTGGTTTAATAATGGCTTGAGTGGAGGGAACGCTATTATTTTTAGCCTTTGCATAATCATGTTGATGGTATAAATGTGTGCCATTCCGTTAAGTGGATTAGCTGAATAGATGTTTGCACTGTC